TGAGACCCTGCCTCAGAAAAAAAAAAAAAAAAAAAAGATGACCAAAAGCTGGGAGTGGCAGAAATGATGGGGAAAGTGGAGATGTTGACTGAAGTGTACAAAGGTTCAGTCCTTAAACACAAAAATACAAACAGGGAAGATGACAGTTAACTAGCTTGATTCTTTCTACATAGATCAAGTCTCTTCGAACCCCTTAAAAATACACAATTATTACTTTAGCAACGAAAAATAAATTTAATCTTAAACAAGAGGTCAAAGCATAAAGAAATGCAAGTACCTTTCCAGCAGGGTTTGACTGTACTACTGCCATCAAGAAGGTGCTGCTCATTTGCAGCTGATCCAGAGTCTGAAGGCTGTTCTGGGCTGCGCCTGTGAGGAGACCTTTCTGGGCTCTGTGACGGCTGATGCTTTTCAGGTCCCTGCTCACCTGGGTAGAACAGGAAACCATCAAACTACATACCACACAAGCAGAGCTCACAGCCACCGGCCAGTCACGCACAGGAAGGCCGGAACACCAGTGAAATCAGCGCACTGTACGCACTGTAGTTTGCGTCTCACTCATCTTTCAGTTTCCACTGAGCCCACAGCCTTGCACAGTAAGGACTCAACAGTGCCAGCTGACAGAACAGCAGTCAGGCTGTTGGTTGCTTCATTCACTCCCATTACCTTCAGAAACAAACCGGTCCACAGGGTACCTGTCTCCATGCAAAGGAGTGAGACTGGGCAGTGAAGCCACAAAGCCAAGCAAAAACAGCTGCTCAGAGAAGCAAGACACAGCATCTGGTCTCAACAGAGCCACTCAATGATTGGCAACACAGTCAGATAAGCACTGGCCACACAACAACAAAAGCACATACACTGTAAAGTACTATGGAAGAAGAAACAAGGGCTGGAGGGTGACAGCTGGGGCTGGGGCTAGCACATGTCAGGTTAAAACATCTGGCCAGGAGTAGGCCAGATAAGGAGGCAGACGCTCAGACCATCATCTCCTAGTCTCCAAGCCTTTGTGGCATGGCTCTAGCCCATTTCCCCCACTCCCTTCTCCCCATGGGTCTTTTTTTTAAGTTTTTTGAGAAAGAGTCTTGCTATGTAGTTCAGGCTAGCCTCCAGCTTCAACCTCCCAAATGCTGGGATTAGTACAGGCATGCCACTATGCTCAGACTATGTGTGGCAATCTTATCTTCTTATCTCCTGTGGATTTCGCTGGACTCTAGGCTTTTGTTTGTGGCCTTTCAGACTTGGGAAGCTTATACTAGTTAGTTTTAAGTGCTAAATGTCCCTGCTACTACTAGGTATGCTCTTCTCACATACAGAAAACGGCACACAAAGCATGGGGCCAGATGCAAGCACCACAGTGACACGCACAACTCCTCTGTTCTAAGTCAAAACATCATCTGGCCCTTGCACCTGACAAGTTCTGCTGGAGTTCCTCAGACGGATGACACTCTTACATTGTAGTTATTAAAAACTATCATGTGAATAAAGCCTCCAGAATCCTCTTATCAAAAGGGATATTTATATTTGTGGCAAACAAACCCTTAACCCTCAAGGGATGAATATACAATCAGGTTATTTTCTGACAGAAATTGGTAACATAAGGCAAGGTCATTATGATTACATGAATACAATATTTATTTACAAGACCATAAGCTCTTAAGGGCAGGAACCAAACCTTAATACTTCAGTTGTCTCCTAAGCATAAAAAAGATACAACATAGCATAGCCAAAGCAAGTATGCAAACAATTTCTGCTTCCACCCACACCATCCATACCTGGGACCTACAACCTCCTCTTCTTGGGGGAAATCTGGTTTTCATACTCACTGTATATAGGGACCTGGTGAACTGTCATGGTCTCATCTTTGTATTCTGGTGCAGAGTGGGGCCGGACAGCTACAGGAAAGCAAAAAGTTAGGAATGTGAGACTGTATGAGTGCCAACATGAAAACAGAAATTCGGTGGTATTTCACCACTAACATCAGTATTTTTGAGCAAATTAACATTTTAAGAAAATTTGTATTTTTATCATTCATATTTACAATCAAATAAAGAAACAATCATTATGGAGAATCCATTTATATATATATACATATATACATATACATATATATACACATATACATACATATATATATAAAATGCTGTATAGTAAGTCTGACAAACATTCAAGTTGCAAACTTTCCCAGATGCAATGGACCTCACATTTGGTTTTCTTATGCTTCACAGTGCACATCGGTGTCAAAGGTGTCTAAGATGCACTTTGTCAGACTTACAAATGAATTCGTATTGGGAATGTTCTGCTGGAATGGAGTTCATCTATGAATCAAGGACTTCCTGAACTCCAATTTAAGAGCTCTGAGTTAACAAACAGTAGTAAGAAGCCAAACTGTACTGCCTCAGCTATTTGGGCTGCTTTACATTCTGAAATAAGACATTCGTGTTCGTGTAGGAGGAGCACTAACCAGCCGAGGATGCACAGTGCACAGCCCAGGCAACCTCTGCTAGTCCCCTTCCCACCAGAGGCTGAGAGGCCCTGGCAGCGGGAGCTTGGGTTCAGCTACCAAGATGGCCAGGACACCTTTGTCCACCCCCTTTTTTTAATATAGCATAATCTTTATATGCTTTGTTCTTTAAATAAATTGCCCTCTCTCTTCCTCCTGCAGAGATCTCAAAGCCCCATGAAGCACTTCTTGGACTGAGGAAGGAGCCTCGGGGGCCTGAAGAGATACCGTGACACCTCTGGCACACTTCCAGATACATAGCATAAAAAAAAAAGAAAAATTAATGTAATACAAGTAGATAATAATAAAGAAAATATATAAAGCACTTTTCTGTAAACAAACTAAACAAAACCTCCTAGTAAATAATTAGAAAGTAAAATTGTAACATATGCCTGGACTGCCCACTTTGTAATTTTGTGGCATGAGGTGAAGGCACAGGCAGGGCAAGAAAGCAAATATTTTAAAATCCATTTTTTTTTTTTTTTTCGTTTGGTGGTACCGGAGATTGAACTCAGGACCTTGTGCCTGCCAGGCAAGTGCTTATTCTACTGAGCTTTCTACCCGGCCCCTTTAAAATCCATCTTAAAGATGATGAAGCACTTGCTTTTAAGGTTTAGAAGGGCTGTAATCTGTTTTGTTTTGTGATCCAGAGGACTGTGGGCAGACAGGGTCTCCACTAAATTGCCTTGATTGGCCTTAAACTTCTCAACTGCCTGTCTCAGCCTCACAAATAGACAGGATCATAGGCATATGCCACCTTAAGCCAAGTTTTAATGGATTCTAATTTGAAAAGCACAGTAAATGTGAGAAAAAATATTAATAATGAATCACAGTTGAGAACATACCCAAGTCTATTCCTTTCAATGGACCAGAAAATATTTTGATTGCTTCTAAGTACTTTTCCTAAAAAACATACAGAACTGATTATTTATAGTTAAACAGAGAACAGAACAATGTATTCAAATATGTTAGTGGGGTCAATAGACAGCAACAGAAAAAACTTTAATAGACATTTTGAACTTCATCTCTACCAATATTTTTCCTGTCTACTACATACTGAGATGCCAAGGACGGCCCTGCTCTCATAAGTCCAAGGGAGAGGACAAAATGGAAACAAATGGCAACACAAACCATTTGTGGCAATTATGTTAAGTGCTCTGCAAAAAAATGTAAAACACAGGAATCTAGGACTAACCTGTCTGAAGACAAGGACAGTTAAAGAACTGACTTTTTAGCTGCTCCCTGGATGTTCAGTAAGGACAGAAGCTGGGATGAGAAGTGGCAGGGGAACACCAGCCCTGTGAGTGCTGGTCTATAAAGACATGGATGGAAGTGTGGGCCAGTGCTCACAGGACTTGTAGACCACACCAAGTGATGTGGGTTGTATTACAATGGAGAACCCCTAAAATGTTTCAGGTTGGGAAGTGACACATGCATTTATATCTTAAAAAGGTCACTCTGGTGCTGGATGGTAAATCAACTAGAGGGAACCAAGGGCAGATGCAGAAGGCTACTGTGGTGGACAGGTGTGGTGAAGAATGAAGGCCTCCAGGAGTTGGAGACAAAATGGACAGGCTTTTGGAAGCAGAATTAACAGGATTTGGTGACTGGCATGAAGACGTCTGACACTGAACAAATAAATAAGAACAAGAAGCTGTCCATTTATTAAGTGCTGACTTAGCACCAAACATCTAATAAGATGATTCAGTACTTTCTATGTATTAATTCATCAAGTGCTTAACAATACCTTTACAAAACATTGCAGTATAGCCATTTCATAGATGAAGAAGCCAAGGCTCAGACAGGCAAAATAACCCCCTCAAGATCGTATAGTTAGCTAGATTTTGAACTCAGCCCTATTTACCTTCAAAGGTGAAATGTTTTACTACCAGTCAAGAACAAGACTGATCTACAAAAATGAAAATTATTATTTACAGAATGAAAAAGGAATTACTTTTGACAGTCAGGAAAGACTCACCAATTGTGGGGGTCCAGACAGCACACACTTTGGAAGCCCTGTTTCTTTTAAAGTAAGAATCATTCCTAAAAAACAAATAAAATCAGATCTCTCACCAACCTGACCTGCAGTTGCTGCCAGGAGCAGAAGCGCTACTTCCTAACATAGTTACTCATCAAGGTTGTCACTCAGCTAGTGAAGGCGCAGACATCAGGCAATGAATGCAGAGCAGAAGTGATGCTAACCAGAGCTGTAAGGAGAAGAGCCTCCTCACAGGCCTCTGCAAAGGGCAGGGCTGACTGCCCTGTAAGCACCTGAGATGCAAACTACAAGGAGGCACCATGCTCAGGGTTGAGTGAAGGGACTGCTTCACATTTTGTTCCCAAGGCTCCTGGCAACCATCACCACACATATATTCAGCTCTCAAAATTGGGATTAGTCCAGTATTCCTCTGCTTTCCATCCACATCATTAAGGTGATAGGTTCTGACTGCAATACAATCTCAACCTTCCCAGGGGATGAACATGAATAGTAGCTGTCTCTGTATTACTGAAATATGGATGCTTTCGTCCCTACCACTACCCTCTCCAGTTAAAGCTCTGACACAGCAATCCAAGTGACCAAGTGGATGGTAGCACTTGGACACAATTTCCATGTTAAAATGGGCTCTTCCGAGTCCCAGATTTCAATGTTCCCTACTGCAGTTGACTGGACTGGCTCAAAAAGAATTCCACCTCCTCTGGACACCACAAAGGGGCAAAATAAGGGAAAGGCACATTAAAACACCAGAGGTTTCCACCAGCCGTGACCCTCCAAAGACTAAACTCACCACACAATCCCCCAACATTACACCAGTGCATTCGTGTCAGGAATATGTTGTCCAAGCGAGCAACCTTCAGTCTAAAGGGGAAAAAAAAATCAGCAGGACAAAATGGACTGACAACTGACCACTTCAGCCACAAACACACAGCCGCCTCTTATAGCAGTTTACAAGCCCTGTAATTATCTCAACCCCAAATACAGATTGTTGACTCACTTGTGCTCTTGCATGAGCCGCTGGACGCCTTCTCCACAGTTGAAGAGATACCTGCCAGAGGAACAGGATGCTCAGAAGAAATCTATTTTGTAAAATCTCTGACACAGATAAGAAGCCTTCCCAAAGACTCTGAACCAAGCAATTAAAAATCAGTACTGTACAACCCAGGCAGTGCTGCTATTAGGGTGGCAGGTTCGGAGCTGTCCTCAGCAGACGCTAGGAGTGAGAGCATGGACTTGTAGGCTGGGGGGAGAGGGGTTTCCCCAAAAGCTTCTCCCAGGACCCGCTTGCCCCACACACCAACCAGGAGGTCCAGGCCGTGTGCTGATGGGGAAGGCTGTCCTCCCTCCCCCCGGTGATTACCAAGAGTCAGCCCGTGGCCCAAGGCTTGGGGGTAAAACTGAGGACGCTTAGACTGGCGAAGACGCACGCCAGAAGTGCCTCACAGATCCTCAGGAACAGTCAATACCGTGAGACATAAGCAGACTAGCATTCCCCACCAGCCAACTCGGCAGAACCGCTGCAACACTGAAATCCTACAAGGGTGGATGTGGGAGAAAGCGAAGCCACAGGAGCTGCCGCGCTGCTCGGGGGCTGCAAGCCACCGAGAGCCCCGAGGGCGTGGAGTCGGGCGTCGGGCATGGCACACCACAGAGGCTCGGTCGGACTTCCAGGGTGGCATACTGACCGGTTGTACTCGGAGAAGACGTAGAGCGCGGCGCCCGCGTCCCGGCCGCCGGCCGCCACTACCTGCAGGTACACAGTGTTGGGGCTCCCAGACCCCGAGGACGCGCCCCGCTTCTCCCGCGTGCGCAGGTGCCGCAGCGGGTCTTTGGGCGGCCGCTGGCGGCGGGCAGGTCCCTGAGACATGGTGCGCCCTGCCGCGGACCGCAGCAGCGAACGGAGCGCCCACATGCGCTCGTCCCCACCTGGCCTGAGAAAGCAGCCGGCCACCTCCGTCCTCGTGCGCCCAGCACCAGCCCTCCGCTCCGCATGGCGGGCCCAGCCAATCAGAGCGCCGAGAAACAAACGGCCCGCCTACGGGAGGCTGCGCGTCCAATAGAGAGGAGCCTTGCAGCCCGGTGCTAGGCAATCGGCGGCAGCCATAGAGTGATGGAATGCTAGAGCGTCGCGGGCGGGAGGCCCGGGTCCTGTTCCGGCTTTCTCCCGGTCGAGTTTCTTTTTCCGGAAACTGTCCTTCTTTTGGGTTGGACTTCCGGGAGTGCGGTGACCTGAGAAGCGGTTCTGCGCTGTCCTGGAACGGAGGTTGTTCCTCAGCGGTGTCAGTTACACTCAAAGTTAAGCTTTGCTACCTCCAGAGCCGCGCCGTGACTTTTGGCAGGTCAGCGCCTCAGAGCTTTGCTTTATTTTTGTCTGTGGTGATTTTGAGGAACAAATGTGAGGAGAGAAGCTGTTAAACAGTGGCATAGGAGTTCTCTTTTTACTTCCGTTGTAATTTATATAAATCCATGTTGATTGATCTTCGTGGATGTTGAGAAAAAAGCAAGAGCAGTTAGGAGCTAATAAGCTTTTGCTAAGGTTAATCAGGGAGGTCCGTGTCAATTTATCAGCTGAGTATTTTGACCTGTCAACCTCCTTTCCTTATCTGTAGCGTGGGAATAGTTTGGACTTAGGGTGTTTGTACTTAAATCATCGAATATATTGGCAGCGCTTTGAGCAGCACTGCTACGGAAGAGGCAGCTGGTAAATGCTAGCAATTTTTTTTAAAAGTTTCAACCCACACAGAATTACTAAAAAACGCTGAGCAGTGGCATCACAAGGCTAGGTGATCCAGTGTGTGAGTTTTGTAAGCTAAGGCCTATCACACCCTTAAGTAGTTCCTGAGGAACTCGGTTAGAGTCCCTGGCAAATACAGGGGATTCCCTTTGACAACGGACTCTGCTGGTCTGTGGAAAGGAACAGATGTTTAATTTGTTTTGTCTCTTTTTTTCGATTGTTTGCCCTTTTTCTCCTCTTAATTTCTCATATATTTCTATCTCTTTTTTTTTTTCTTCTTCCAACTTTGCATGCATTTATCTGGTAATATGAACAACTGGTTGGAAGACAACACTATCGTTACAACAGCTGCCTTTTTTTTTTTTTTTTAGCAGAACTAGGGATTGAACTCAGGCCCTTGCGCTTGTCAGGGAAGCACTTATTCTACTGAGCCATCGCCCCGGCCTGTTGTAGCTCAAAAATCAGATGACAACGAGGCAAGTCCAAAAGTTAAAAGAAGCGCTTTATTTTAGCTGGTACCCAGCGGCGGTCTCTATGCAAGGTGCAAAGAGGTGCGCAGAGCATTAACAAGGTGCAGTATTTAAGCTTGAAAACCGCAAAAACAGGGAAGGGGTGGAGAGGAAGAAGTGGCTGGGTCATTAGTTCATTAGGTGGTCTTATTGAGTGGGGTGCTGGAATCAGCAATCATGGGGTACAGCGTGTCATTAGTTTATGGGGTGGTCCTGTTGGGTGGAGGTGCTGAGTTGGCGAGGTCATGAGTTCATTGAGTGGGCCCATTGGGTGGGGGGTGCTGAAATCACGCAGAGTTCTGCAGGACAAGATAAGGTTTGGGGTACAGATGTCATAAGACTTGGGTCATAAGGGTGAGGAATTGGGAGGGGTCAGCGCATACAGAACAGGAACTCATCAAGGTTAGAAGGGCAACAAAAATTGAGCCAATTTTGACAGGGTACAACACAACCCCTTATCATTACAACAAATACTGTGAAATTCATGTTATTTTGTTAAGTGAAACTCTGTATTGTAGTTTTTCTGTTTAATACTATTTTGTACTCTTTAAAAAATAAAAAGGAGGTCTGACCAGATAGCTCTGCGAATTAAAGCGCCTGCTTAGGAGGCAGGAGTTCTATCCTTGGCCTGCCATGCCTACTACCCTCCCCCTGGACACACTGAGACTGCGAATGAAACTGGATGTGGTGGCACTTGCCTGTAATCCCAGCGCTTGGGAGGCTGAAAAACATGAAGGATCACTACAGATCCAATCTGTGTAGTAAGACTCTGTAGACCTTGTACTAACTACATAAAAGAATTTAAAAATAAAAAAGGGATATTATTTATCTGGAAGATGTACTCAAGCGTGAAACTGGTTTTATGGAAGATTACCACTACTAATATGTTCTGTGCATGAAGTAACCCTGCTAAGGAGGATCAGGGAAACTACATTTTACTTTGGACCTTTGTGGGTTTTATTCACTGGATAGATTATAGTTGTCCTAGCATCAAGTCAGCCCAGTCAAAGAATGAAATTTATTTGAGCTAATTAGGATTGCAATGTGGGAAAACACATTCAAGCCATTTTAAAAGCATGTTCTCTGAACCACAAATTTGGTAACAATATGTAATATATCAACCATTATTAGTTTGCTCTCCTTGTTTTGAAATCCTGTACCACTTTTATTGTCTGATGGTGCTTTGTTTCTGTCTTTGTTCTTGTTATTTGGATTTTTTTCTCTTTAAGATAAATAAGCATGTTCAGAGGCTTGCAAGGTGATGGCTGCATGTACAGCTTTAAACTGCAAGGAGATGAGCTGTCACATCGTTAGCAATCATGATTTATGCTGTCAAAGACTAGGCTGTTTTGTAAAAAAGGGACTGGGTATGGTGGTCTCTGTCAATAGGTAGTTTGGGGGACCTTTTACAGAAAGTCAGCAAAGAATAACAATGTTTCAAAGGTCAACCTGATTCCAGGGTTGGTGGGCATAGCTGTGGACCAGTCAAAAGTTCAGCTGCACAGTATCTGAGGGCTGTTAAACAGTGGCCTTCCTGAGGCAGATTAAGACTGAGCTGGCTGGTGGGGGGAACAGGCGTGACCTGTTAATTGCAAAGTCCTGGGCCACATGTGCAGAACAGTTCCCAGAGTCCTACACACAGACTTCTGAAGAGAACTGGAGCAGTTTGGGACTGCCATAGATCTGACAGCAGCCTGAGGAGTGGGTGATACCAAGAGGACACTCACTATGGAGCTCTGTGCTGTGGGCTTTCACAGTACTCCTCCCCCTGCTGGTGAGTGTGCATCTTTTCCTGTTCTCACTCAGCCCAATCTCACTCTGCAGAGTCTGTGTCTTTTCCTCCCTTTAATCAGTGTAACATCTTACTACTTTTTGTGCTTGTCTTGATCAGTTCTCTGCTCAGGACTGGAAGACTCTAGAAACCCCCTCTAGAGGGAGACTCCTGCTCCTACTGGTTTAGGTACCTCTAAGCAATGCTGATCCATTTTGAGTTTTTTCTTGAAATGATTCATGCCCATAAATACTGGAATTTTTTTCCCATAATTTTATTGACAGACAAATAGCAATGAGACAGTTTCAGATCAAATTGGTAGGAGAGTTTCAATAATTAACACATTGCATACATTCTTCCTAGTGGTTATTTGCTGTACAAGATGCAGACATGATATCCTATTTACAAACACTATTACAACAAATCCCTCTATTCATTAAGAGAATGTAACTATATATCTATCCTAACCATTTTGAATACACAGATACAAAATAGACATTCATTTATATATCCCCTTTTTTGTTTAGTTCCGTCATTTGAATATTATTGAATTTTTTTGGGGGGGGGTAGAACTGGGGATTGAACTCAGGCCCTTGTACTTGCCAGGGAAGCACTTATTCCACTGAGCCATCTCCCCAGCCCCTGAAAATTTTTTTAAAATAACCTTCTGTTTCAAAGTGTTAAGATGTCCAATAAAAAATTCATTTTTCCCATCCTGACTACTTTGGGCCTGTTTTGAGGGGGACTTTTTTCTTTTGTGGTACTGGGGATCAAATTCAGGACTGTGCACTTGCCAGTCAGGCACTTATGCTACTGAGCTATATCTCCAACCCCTTTTGAGGGGACTTTTTGAAATATCTTGCTCATACTACAAAAAATTTTAGTTCCTCCATTTTATTGGTTTCCTAGGTATGTATCTCTAGGAAAGGCCGAAGAACTTATACCTTACTGGGCCTGGTGGCACATGCCTGTAATACTAGCACTTTGGAGACAGAGGCAGAAGGATTACCACAAGTTCCAGGTCAGCCAGATCTACAGTTAGTTCAAGGCCAGCCCGAACTGCATAGCAAAACCCTGTCCCAAAAAAGACAATTTTTTTTAAAAAAGCAAGAAGGACCTTTTATCATCTAGTTGTATAAAATTCTGAGAACAGGATAGGTACTATGGGAGGCTTGGCTGGTGAGCGGTTTTCTTGTGCCCAGTTTGCCTTTCTACACTCATTCCTAGGGTTGTATTTTTATTTCATTTATGAAAACAAAAGATGGACCTTTGTCAAGCTAAGAATTTTCTGGAATGTAAATTCCACAAGAATAAGACTTTGATCCTTTGCTGTATCCTGATTTGTGGTATTAGCAGATTTTGGGTTGAGGGGCTTCACTTTAAAATACCTCTAGTCTTTTCAGTTTTAAATCTTGATACACAGTTGCATTCAGTTACTGCAGACTGGGCTTAAGTTTTTGATCCTCTTGCCTCACCCTACCAGAGTGCTAGAATAACAGACTTGTACCACTGTCGTGGTTTGGGTTTTTTCCGAGGTAGTGATAATACACGACACATTTTATAAGATTATTTTATAATGAATAACCCAAAGAATCATATACAGGAGTGCAGGACATCTGTCCACACACTAAAGACCAAAGAATCGAGCTGAGGGCCAGGATCCTAATATCCTCCCATAACAACGCCTCCCATGAGTCCAGCTGGAGACCTAGAGCCAACGACAATGTCTCATGCAGGCATGTTTTATGGATCTGTGCTGGGAAGGCTGAAAGGTTAGTGATGGAAGCTGGAAGGTCTGTGCCAGCAGGGTGAAGGATCTGTGCCAGCCGGCTGAGGGCTCTGAACTGGCACCAGAAAGCAACACTCAAAAACCAGAGCTCCCCCAAAAAGTACCACAGCCATCCTCAGCAACAGTGAGATCCCGAGCTCCGCTAGCAGTGAGGAAAGCTGAGTTCCGATCAGGAAACCCAACAC